TAAAAAGGACCCTTATTTCTATATCAGCTTTCTAAAAATGGTGCCCTATCTGGTCCCAATCGAAGCTTTTACATATACACACCATTAAATCCCCTTCAAAGTATTATGTACTGTATTTGTCAGGACATTGTATCAGTCATCAGATTTGTTCACATGGTCATTAGCAATACATTTAGTATACATTTAATGTCAACAGCAATAGTTCTATCTTAAGGCATTTTAATGAGCATTCATTACTAGCAAACCAAGCCGAAGTTAAAATATGATACTAACGAAAAAAGTTGCTCAAATGAATGCAAAAGAACCATCAGCCTTAACAATACACTTCAAAAATATCACTGTGTGTACAAAATGAACCACAGGATGAACACTCATGGAAAACCCAATAATAGAGGAAAAAAAAATATGGAAATAAAAATAAAAGTTGGGTTGGAGGAGGAGATCACTTTGATAAAAATGGAACAAAACATAGTGTCAGGGCTCCGGGTATGACCAGAGGTATGTGAACTGACGCAGGGAAACGCAGGCTTCAGATATGTTATAAACAATATAATTTATTAATACTAACAATACAAAACGCAGTGCAATACTAAAACATAAACACAGTGCAAACGAACCAAACCAAACCACCCACAGATAACAATACATACAATGCAAGCGTAGTCAGGCAGGCCGGGTCAATAACAATCGGGCAGGTAGGAAAAGGAGGAGCAGGCAGAGAGTAGTCAGGTCACGAGCCGGGTACAGCAACTAATGGGCAGGTAGGTACAGGGGGTCAGGCAGAGAATGGTCGGGGTCACAAGCCAGGGATCAAACAGGAGAAGTCAGCAGAGGTCAGGATCAGGCAGGGTCGGCAATGAGTCAGTCAGGCAGGAACAGGAACAGAAACAGGAATGCAGGTAACAAGATACAGGGGCCCATGGAAAAACACACACCAAGGCACAGACTGCAGGTCTGGCCATCCCTTAAATACACCTGCAATCAGCCTCAGGTGTTTGGCTGACTGCAGGGTTGAGTCTCTGATTGCTGAGAGCACCCGCTGGCCAGCCCTTTTGGTATTAAACTCACTGGTGAAGTTCAAAGTGTAAGGATTCAGAACTTGATGGTGTGAACCTCCTGTGCTCCTAACTCAATAATGATACGCGATAGTAAAAAACTCCCAATGAAAGGAAGCTGCTAACATCTAATCATATACCCTATGACAATTAGATAACCAGAAATAAATGATGTAGCGCTTCCCAAATAATATGAAATATATCAATACTACGTGAATATGAAATAAGTAAATCAATACACATATAAGTGATAATCTTACATACTATAAAGTGAAAATAATACAAGTGTATGAAGTGACCTGATCTACTGGGGATCCAATCTGAAAGAAGTGAATACCGATCCACTAAGGGATCTAAAGTGATAGCAATAACTTAAAGTGTACACACAAATAATCTCACAAAGAAAAAAAAGAGAGAATAGTGTATACGTGAACTGATCCACTAATGGATCCACAGTGATAATCAAATTAGTGACAATTCCAAACAATAAGTTTGAACTTGATAATAGTCCAAATGGGACTATAAGATGAGCACTGTCCAAATAGGACTAAGGACCAAAGGAACCACACAGATGTCAAGGAAAACACTCCTTAATTAGATGTGGACAATCACTCCCCCACAAATAAGGAAAAAACCCAAAAGCCAATATCAAATAAACAAACCACACATAAAAATCATGTGACCTTAGCATAAAGATAAGAATAAAAATAAAATGCCACATGACAATTTAGCACGGAAGTGAAACGACACACCGTGCCACACTAAATCCAATTAATGTACATACATTATAAACACATGAAATATAAAAAATAAAAAACAAGAAAAAGTCCATATTGGTGTTTTAACACCACGTTATCCAATATATCAGGAAATCGTGCAGGTGGATAGTGGATGTGCGTGACCACAAAAGATATCCACAAACAGTTGAAATACCCGCTCACCTCCTTGCTGCGACCCACAAGGGTCAAAACACCTGTAGGAGCACCAAACAGGATCCTCCATGTAAAAGACTCCTCTGCCACTGCACACCTCTCCCTGCAGCGATATCCCCTTCAGGAATAAGCGTTTGGATGGGGAAAATCTTCTCCTGGTAAGTAAAGTGTGATATAGCCAATTTCTCCTTGCTGCAGTGCTTTTCCTGATCCCTTTCACATGTGTGTTTGCCTGTGCTCACCTATGGGCATCATCTGCTGGGCTTTATTTCCTTCCCTTCCATCACTTCAGAACTAATCCTTTTACAAAATCCTGAGCTTGTTCTATGGTTCCAGTCCAAAGGATGAGAACGTAGTCAATTTATCTGTACCTGGATAAAATCCTGGACAGACACACCGAAGATGCTCCCCACCCCCGAAGAGCCAAGATTCCCTGTCCCCCACCAAGTAGATATTTGGATATGTTGGGGCACATTTAGTCCCCATTGCTGTACCTTGGGCTTGGCAGAATGTCTTATTGCCAAACTGAAATTTATTGTGGGTTAAAAGGAATTCCAAAATATCAACAACGAAATGACTATGTTTATATTTCTCTCTTGATCTACTGCTTAATATTTTTTTAATGACCTCAAGGCCCTTAGAATGTGGGATGGAAGAGTAAAGAGATTCAATAACAAGAGTAAGGAGAATCATACCTGGAGGGATGGCTAAATCATGTAAAAGTGTCAAAAGATGCAATGTAATTTTGACATAGGAGAACTGATTGATAACGAAAGGTTGAAGAGGTTCTGTCTATATATTTGATGCATCTTTTCATATTTTTTATTCCTCTATTTATTATTGGGTTTTACCACGGGTGTTCATGCTGTGGTTTATTTTGTACACAGTGATATTTTTGAAGTGTACTGTTAAGGCTAATGGTTCTTTTGCATACATATGAGTGACTACTTTCATCAGTATCATATTTTAACTTTGGCTTGCTTTGCTAGTAATGAATCCTCATTAAAATGCCTTAAGATAGGACTATCGCTATTGACATTAAATGTATACTAAATGTATTGCTTTTGACATATATATAGATATATATATATCTATATATATATATATATATATATAGTGTGTGTGTGATATGGTTTTTGACCACTAGATGGCATCTTGTATGTTTGAAGACTATCTCCATTTATGTCAACATGTAATGTGACTGTTTGTCCACTAGATGGCATTTTCAGTATTGGAATGGCCTACCTTTGTACTTGAGTCTATTCTATTGCGCATGTGTGTGACGTCAGCACGCACTTTACGTGTGACATCAACACATTCTGCACATGCACAGTGGGTACATGGTGGCGATTTTAAGGGGATTGATTTTCCTCAGCAAACCAAACGATTTTAAATGCCTACCGATCAGGAAGGTCGCCTCCACACCCCCAGATCTACTAATGATGACCCACGCCTCAGTCTGATAAGTATTGAATTGTACTGGATCTAGCTCCTGCATTATGAACTGTTTTTGCTCCAAGGGACCCAAGCCTTTTCCTGTTTCAAGGGACTGCTCCTTTCATTTTCCCACTTAGTTGCTATTTGAAGACTAACTCTGTATATGTATATGTATATGTGAGGTTTTATCTACTCGAATCCTCCCTAGGATGGCACCCTTACCCCTTTGGGTGCTAGAGGGGGGGTGAAGATCTGCAGATCTGCAGTAATTTACACCAAATTACATCTAAGCATTACCTGCTTCCTCCTCTGGACTTCTATTTGGACCTCAAGATTATTGAGTCATCTATTTAGTGCATGAGGGAGGTTGATACAGCACTAATATCCTCCTCTGGACTGCACGCTATGTGTACACATTATTTACTTTCCATATTATATATCTCTTTTGAAAAGGTGCAACATCATAATTTATGGAATACCTCATTAATGGGGGCTTTCTTTGGTCCAAGCTCACAATATGGAGCTGAATTAGTCATTACGGGACTATACATATTTCAATACTTGGTCCACCATATTTAGATCTGTGGAGTGTGGTGCTTTATTGTTTTGTTTTGCATGTTTTTAAGATGCTTTTCATTAAAGAAGTCGTTCATAAATAGTTTTACCATCAGCCTGTTTTTCTATTATTAATAAGTATACCAAAAACCCATGAGTCATGGTAGAATCCATTAACCAATCCTTTTAGTTTGGTTTGCATACAGGTGTTCGATTGGGGATTCCCGGACTATCTTTTTGAGACCTTGAGGCTTTTTTTCTTGGAGGTTTCAACAACAATGCAATATTGTAACCTGTAAGCCAATGAACTTACTCCAATCTAAACTAATTTTGTTAGTTGCCAAGAAAATGTATGCAATGTGACACATCCTCTGCTCTACAGCTGCCATTGGATGAAGCTTTCCAATTGATTTTTATAAAGAAGACTTAGTTACTGTGATGAAATTTGGATGTTTGTATAATAAGCAGGTTCATGGCTGCATATTTTCTTTATGAACAATCCTTTTGGTTGTTGTTGATCTGTTTTAGATCTCTACATGAAAGAAGAATTCTCAGGATTTCTTTCTTCTGTGATTAGAGAGTTCAGAGGAATTTCATCTTAGTTGAAATAATTATACATAACAATACTTTGATTTTTATATTAGTAGCTATTTCAAATTAAAAATTGAAGGGCTCACAACAATAAGCAGGCAGTTCCAATTTTACTAACTACTGGCAAACTAAAAGATCACTTTAAAATGTTTTTTTTTGTCAGCTTGAGATCAAAGTGTTTTATGCAATTTTGCTTATGCATTAACACACGATTCAACACCTTTAGCATACAAAAATACTTTTTTTTTCTATAAAACAGGGCGAGATTTTACATTTTGGAGCTGCTTCTGTTGAGGAACATGAGCAATAGTGCTCAGAGCTGCCTCCTTTTTTTGCACCAATTAATAGAGCAGATTTTTCTGAACAAAATAGGGTATATAATCAAAAAAGCGAATAGAATGGAGCTGCTGCCGTTTTGCTGCATACTTCCTTATAATATTATAACATTTGTATTATTTAAGTAAATAAAAGTGTACAGTACCTTGAAGGTAATTACCAGATGGCTGAACTGAAACAATGTTTCTAAATCCAATCTAATACTGATGTAATCAATGCCTAGAAAGAAATAAGTAAAATGTAAGTCTCCAGAGAAAGAAATATATTCCCACTTTTAAGTTATTATTTTTTATCTTCCATTATTTTCCTCTTGAATTGGTATACACATTTTTGCAATGTAAAGTATATTCTATAAACATTTTTAATTGCTGTTTTCTTAAAAATTCCTTTGTTATTTTTCATTATTTCAGTATGGGGATCATTAATGAGCTGGCTAAAATGTAGTAGCAATTAGTTAATGTTTGATTGGTTGGTGTTGTTTAGCATACAGTATATTATCTTTTATACTGTTTTAACATATAAACCTGCCTGGAGTCTGCATATTCTCCCTGTGCCTGCTTAGGTTTCCTCTGGGTACTCCAGTTTCCTCCCACACTCCAAATAGATGCTGGTAGGTTAATTGGCCCCTGTCTAAATTTGTCTTAGTATGTATACGTATGAATGTGAGATAGGTACCTTAGATCGTAAGCTTTTTAAGGGTAGGGACTAATGTGAATGTACAATATAAGAGGGGCATACAAGTCAAACTGGGACTTTTGAGTTTATATAATAAAAGAACACATTTTAAGGAGTGGAAACTGCATTTATTTTTCGGCATACTCCCTTGCTACATTTATACACTTATCCCAGTGTTTAACTAATTCCTGGAAAGTTTTGGCATAGAAAGATTTGTCAGTATGCCTGAACCATCTTAGGACAGGATAGGATTTGTCTCTTGTGCAATTTCACAAAAGGTTATGCGTCGATTATCCAGGATCAGGCATTCCACGCATTAAATTTTCACAGGAATGCCTGCTCTGGGCTGGGAACCACCACTGCCAGGATTGTCACTGACGCACGTACGGCCATCTTTGAAACGTTTACAGCTTTCAAATGTCTTATGCTACTGAGCGTCTCATTGCCATACTGTGCTTGAAGTCTTCTGTAGATATCTGTGAGTTTTACGCCTTCGTTCACAAGAAACTTCATCCTTGCACGCTGTTCCATGCACGCACTAACACTTGTTGTCTGCCATCTTGATTAATGGTCTCTGGACATGTGTGCCACCTATCAGTAATAGGACACACTTGCCACGCTAGCATCCCTTATTATACCTGTAAAATTAAAAGTCCCGGTTTGTCTTGAACGCCCCTCATACAGTATATGTAAAGTGCTGCATAAACTGACGGCACTATATAAGTACCTGTAATAAATAATAAATATATAAATAATAGAGCTGTATCAAGTAGCAGTAAGTTAAATACAACTGGTGTGTTGCTCTGGTATTTGTACTCCTTGTCAGAAGTTTGACTGTCACCTGCTTGGCCTGATAGTGCAGGGTTTAAAGGACTCCCAACTTGCCTTCCTGTGAGTGGAAGGATCAGACTTGACAAACTATTCTATTTCCAGAGCCAAAAAGGTCATTTTGTTATCTTTAACATCTTCCAATGTAAAATTGGTGTCTGCTGATATGATGTGTTTATTAGTGTTCACTCATTATGACACAGTTGGTAAATGATATGAATTTAAACCCATGTGTTCTGGTGGAAACTAGCCCTTAGAAGTATGTCATGTTGGTAAATTAAGATTTCCAAATCCAGGTTCTCTTCTTCTTAATGAGAACATTTTTGCATTATTTGTTAACAAACAAGTTGGCTGCAATTTGGCTCTACGTGCTTGGAAAAAAACATTTCAAAACAATAGTTTCTTATTGCTCAAAAGTTGTACTTCTTGCCTATTAGCATATGCTACTGTGACAGCACCATCTATATACAAGACAACTCAACCGGCCAAGATTCGATCTATTTTTGGCCAGCTTCAACCAGGTATAGGTTATCTGTGGAGCTCTGGACAGACACTACCCCAGAACTATATGGGCCCATTCACGCCAGAAACTGCATGTTACTGCATTTTTTTTTGCAACTATGCATGCAGTTGGTATGCGTTTTACATCAGGTAATGTACGTTTTGCATGCAGTTGACATGCATTTACATGCAGTTGACTTGTGCTTTGCTAACTGCACTTGACCTTTGAGGCTATTCCCTTCCTTGGGCTTCTATGTGCACTGTGATGCGTTGCAGTGCATTTGCAGTGAAGTTTCATGCTTTTGCGTATGTTTTTGTGCGTTTGCAATGTGGGAAAATGCAGCATGGGCATAGTGTGAACTATGCACATAGGATTGCCTGTATTTTGGACTGTCTATGCAGTTGAAGTGCAGTTCAAAATGCTGCCAACTGCAGCCAATTGCATTCCACTGCGTTCGGTGTGAAAGGGCCCTAACAGTGTAGGACAAACCACTTCTGCTGGAGAGGTGATATGACCTTATACTGAAGTAAAACACTGTTGGTTCTCTGGAATTGTTAACTCTGAGACAATTCTTCCAAGTTTTCAGTTCCCAAAAAATAGTAGAATTTATTTACAGAAAATGGTTTGCCACTTACTAGTTCTAATATTTCTATTTAAAAATAAGTGAAATATAAAAACACAACACTGGTCTATGGTATAAAAGCACCAAACCTAGCACAGCTATAAGAAGACATATTACAGCACCCTATATAGTAATCCTTCAAGTTCCAAACCCAAGGGGCGCAATTAAGAGTATCATCTCTATACCTTGTTTAATTAGGAATCAATTAATCAAATTGTGGTCTGTTATTTCTATGTCCTACATTGGTACAATTGAGAGAAATAGAATGTATATGTTATGGGCTGCTTTAGAACAAAAGTTTAAAGACATTTACTATTACATTTGATGTCTGTTATCATTTACCATTTTCCGATTGCCACCATCTTTTCTTCCAATCTGAATCAAATGTTGTTATAACATTTTCAATTTGGTGACTGTTTGGGTAATTATATGGATCATATGGATATCTGGAATCACACATAAAACATTTCTGATCATCCTAAAATAAAATGAAATCAGAAGTATTAGTACATAGTTTCTAAAAGACCAGTTTCTTGACTTTTGTTTTACCCTAGAAAGGTCCCACAGAATGTCCCACAGGGCAGGGTGGAAGAGGGCAGATTACCAGATATATTACCAGTAAATAACATACACAATGTGTGATATTCAGGGAATTTGATATCACCATCAACAAAGAGTACACTGTAGGTTTTTAAAGTGGTTCAAAATGTTTAAACATTGTTTACCATAATGAATTCTACACATTAAGGTAAAAAAAAAGTTTCGGTACCTGTCTTGCCCCCCTTACCCCCTCACACACCCCACTCTCACAGGCTTTGCTGTGCTATATCTTTAAAATCATTTTAAAATAAATGTATGTTTATTTCACAACATGACAGGCTAATCACTGGCAACAGCAAATTTTCTCTTTCCAAGGGAATTTTAGCTTAATAACTGAGGTAAAGCTCTGCTATCACCTAATCATGTACAAGTAAAAATATTGCTATGCTTTAACTTTTCTTGAATATTATTGGGTATCCTTTGCAACATGAATAGTCACAACATTCACTAAGCTAAGGTAATTTAGGGAAGGGTTCCCCTAAGGCTAGGTTCACATTTCCACGTTCCTGCGGGCTGCATTTTGCGAGTGCACGAGAGTTCATTCATTTGAATGGACTCCCGTGCCCTGGGACACGCATGGAAGAAGCCCCTGCACTTCTTCGGAAAACACAGCCCGCACAGGAACATTGGTTCCCAGTAGGTTGCAATTTCCGGTGCGGGCGGCGTGCCATTAGAATTGATGGCACCCGCCCGCGGGTCCACATTCCTCTGTGCAGGTGGTGCGGCTGCACAGATTTTTGTGCGGATCTGCAGCGGCACCACCTGCACAGATGTAAACCAGGGGTAAGGGGCCTGCTTAAAGTAAAATTAAGCCCAATAGAACAGCGCTAGACAGTCAGTGGTAAGGAGTCAAAATTCACCTCCCCTGGAGGTATATCTTTACTGATCAAATAGTTAAAATTGTGGAAGTTGTAGAAAATAACATGCAGAGCAATGATGACCCAGGACTTGTGAGGTGAAGTGTCTGCTCACCTGCGTCCCCTGACGTTGGTAGACGTTGGTTCTCTGTGTGTTCCTGGACCGGCTGGGGATTGCATTGCTCCTGAAATGACAACACTGCAACTGGGACGGGGGCAAAAATAGAGCCCTGCAAGTGAGGCGCAAGCTTGTCTGGTCCACACAGAGGACCAGCGTCTCTTCCCGGTCCGGGACGCAGGTGAGCTGGCACTCCACCTCTCAAGTCCTGGGTCATCATTGCTCTGCATGTTGAGTCATTTTATTTTCTAAAACTTCCACAATTTTAACTATTTGATCAATAAAGATATACCTCCAGGGGAGGTGAATTTTGACTCCATACCACTGACTCTCTAGCGCTGTTCTTTTGGGCTTAATTTTACTTTAAGCAGGCCTTACCCCTGGTTCACATCTGTGTGGGTGGTGATCCGCACATACCGCTGACTCTCTAGCACTGTTCCTTTAACCCCTTCCCTACCACCCTATAGCAGAACTACTGCTACAGGGAGACAGGGCTGCACACAATCATCACATATATATACGTGATTTTGCATTTTCGGGCAGGGGGTGCCGCCATTGGCGGCTACAGATGTCGATCCCCGGGTCCCGGTTGGATATTCCCTGCTGGAACCCAGCGATTGCTGAGTATCACTGTCAGGAGAGAGACCTGTGTGTAAACAACACAGGTCTCTCTCCTGCCAGCAGTAACATGCTGATCTGTAATTCTCTGCACAGCAGAGAAATACACAGCAGTATGTTTCCCTAATAAAACACACACAGCACATTTAGCAAAACAGCATACCGCACACAGTTAACCCTTTGATCACCCCAGATGTTAACCCCTTTCTGCCCAGTGCCATTAGTATGGTGTCAGTGCTTTTTATTAGCACTGATCACTGTATTGGTGTCACTGGGATGTCAGTGGCAGTTAGTCAGCCCCCCCCCCCCCCAGTGTCAGAATGCCCACCACAGTCCCGCTATAAGTCACTGATCACCACCATTACCAGTATAAAAAAAATACAAAAATTCCAGTATATATACCGCCATTTGTAGACGCTATAACTTTCACTTAAATCAATTAATTTACATGCATTGGGAGTTTGTTTAGCAAAGACATGTAGCAGAATACATTTTGGCCTAAATTTATGAAGAAATTTGATTTTTAATTTTTTTTAATGGATATGTTTTTTATAGCAAAAAGTCAAAAATATATATATATTTTTTCAAAATTGGCAGCCTTTTTTTGTTTATAGTACAAAAAATAAAAAAGCACAGATGATCAAATACCACCGAAAGAAAGCTCTATTTGGGGGAAAAAAGGACATCAATTTAATTTATGTACAGCGTTGCATGACCGCGCAATTGTCAGTTAAAGTAATGTAGCACCATATCACAAAAAATGGCCTGGTCAGGAAGGGAGGTAAATCCTCTGGAGGGCAAGTGGTTAACAAAGCAAGAAGAGGAACACACACAAACACATGTATTTTTATATATGAGAGAGAGAAGCACTTTGATATGTCCTGTAAGTCATTTTAAAGTGGTTGTAGAGGTTGAAGTTTTTTTTCACCATAATACGTTTTCTGCATTCTCTGCATTAAGATAAAAAAAATCTATTGTCAGCTCCACCCGAGTTAATTACCTGAACCCAATCTCGGTCCAGTGCTGTGCCTGAAAGCTGCAGTTCTGCTCTCTCTCTCCATCCTCACCGGACTCAGTGGGAGCCATCAGCTCCTGCAGCTGTCAGTCAAATCCAGTGATAAGGGAGCAGAGGGCGGGACCAAACCATACTGTGTGTGTCAATAAACACACGAGCGTGGCTCTGGATCGAACATGCACGTGTGCCACCAAAGGAAGTGTCTTCCTATTGTGGCACATGCAAAAGAGGATCCTAGAGTGCCAGCGAGGAACCCCAGAAGAGGAGGATCAGGGAAGCTCTATGCAATACCTTAAAACAAAGTAGCTAAGTATAACATGTTTGTAATTAATACAAAAGCAACTGTACCGTCACTTTAAAAGTTTTGATAAAGGTTTGTATATTTGAATATATTGCCAAGGCTCCTGATTGGCTAGGTATTTCTATTCTTATTAAACCTAACCCCCTTCTAATATGCAATACATTGCTATTGCTTACCTCTAGATAGCTGATGATGCAATATCTTTGAGGTTCATCCTGTCCACATGTTGATGATGCTGAGAGCTGCCTATTACGTCCCACAAGAAGATCTCCAATAGTTGGATAACAAGATCCTTCCTCACAGCTGCCCTGTGCATTTCCAAGACTTATCAGCTCTCATGGAAGAAAAAGAACATAACATTTTATAACGATGTTTTGGAAAAGAAGTATGTTATATTATAAACACTATATTAGTCATGAATAATAAAATGGGTTATAGAAGGCTAATTGCTGAAACTGTTTCTATGGTTTTAAAAAGCAGTTCTAATTTGGGAATTAATATATGCCCCTTGCTTTTCTTCCTAGAATGGACTGCATGACCTAGCCAAGATGAATTAAAAGAACAAACTCGATTCTTGTGGGAGGTAAGGGAGGTTTTTTCCCATCTTAAAGTTTTGATAATAGTTTATATCACAGTAAATATGTTTAAAAAGCAAAGATTAGGGATAGGGTAAAGGAAAGCCTGGATTAGATATAGTATATTTTCTAAATACTGTATAGCACACGACTTTTCCATTATAAATATGTTATGTTTATTGAATTCATTTATTTTTTTTTGTTTACAAACGATTTTATTGTACAAGAGTAGACAGTAGAACAACAGCACACTTTAAAAGTGATATTGTCAGCAAAAACAAGGCACTTTTGAAAAGTACAATACATAAAGGTATATTAACATAACAAAGAATATAAGAAAAAAAAGAGGAAGTTACAAGTGCATGAAGTACGTAAACGACAAAATAGGTTAGGTGATACACCTGTCAATAGTACATGCCAGCCAACTTTTACTGGGGATGTTATTAAGCATGTAATAAGTGTCTGCAATCTCTCCATGACTCCCATTTTTTATCGTATAAGTGCAGCTTATCCAGTAGGGTATAATGAATGCGTTCCATAAGCATTACAGTGTCAATTCTGTGTAAAACGGAGTCTAAGGGTACAACATTGGACCTCCAATGTAGGGCAATAGACCATAAAGTGGCAATACATAATGTGTGTATCAATCTCAGATTGGCATCAGAGACCCCTGGGATATGGGCCCCCAACAAACAGGTCTGCATGGATCAATCGTATCGGGGCGCCCGACAATAAGGTAGCGACCTCAGAAATCCTACGCCAGATCAAAGATATGGTCGGGCAATCCCAAAATATATGAACCAGAGTACCCGTGCAGTCACAGCCCCGAAAACATAGAGGGGACGTTTGTTGAAACAGTACATGTAGTCTTGACGGGGTATAATACCATCTGGTTAGAACTTTAAGGGCCGTCTCACGAACCGAAAGAGATCTAGAGCTCTTGCATATATTATCCACCATGGAATCCCAATCCTCATCCGAATTGAATTCATTTATTTTAGTGAGTCATCTAAACTGTTATTTGTATGTAGGGATGCACATCTGACTACCAATTCTAAGGAATTTTAGCACAAGTAGATGCAAGGTTTGAACTGACCATTGGGTTAAAAGGTTAGTTTTGCCCTCAAGTCGTGTAACCAGCCTAACATTGGTTGCTAGATTCAAAGCAGACATATTACTATCCTTCAACAGTGCAAAAAGATGCAATAAAAAATAAAAGACTTCATAAAGCAAAAGCAAATAAAAAATGTATGTTTATTATTCCAGTAGTTTAAGTCATAAGCCACAGCTGTTCTAGCTAGAAATTATTGAACCTGGCTACTAAACCTATACATTCAGAAGATACTGTTTTTAGAACTTTTATTTTCCTTTTTTTTATGCTACACAAATCTTTTGTAACACTGCACAAGTTCTATACTTTAACTTTATTCAATGTCTTTTACAGGGATGGTTTTATACAGGAGAAGGGTATAGGGTGAGGATTATGGGATAAACAAGCATCTTCACAGAAATAAAATATGCAATAAAAATCAACCAGTGGGCAAATAAAGGATACAGCATTCTTAGTCCCAGTAAGATTTATTTACTGAGTCCTCATACACACTTGACGTTTTTACAGCAGCTGTTTTTGGCTTTTGATGTTTTTTTTCTACAGCCAGTAAACCCCCCAGCATGTTATCCTATATGTCAATGCACACATAGACTGTAATCAATGTTTTTTGGCTGGAAAAAAAGCCCAGGACTAGTGGGTTTCTAGACAAGCTTTTTAGCTGTAAAAATGCTCTAACGCTGGAAAACGTGGCAAAGCGCAGTAAAACGCTGCAAACCGGCATTTTCAGACTTTTTTTACTATAAAATTTTTTTTCCGTTGGTTAAAAAAAAAAAAACGCTAAAAAACGCAAATGCAGAAAAACGTGAGAAAACACTGCTAAATGCTAATGCAAAAACACTAAAAAAGCTGAAAAAGTGAAGTTTTTAACATGACTTTACACAGCTAACGTTACCAGCGTTATCAAAATGTCCAGTGTGCATGAGGACTAAGGCTGGAGAGTGCAAAATCAGGCTCTCTTCTGCATACAAACCAATCAGCTTACAGGTTTTACTGCTAAAGCTTAATTTGTGCGTTGTGCGTTTTGTTTAGTCTCAGTTCATTTTTTGGACAAAAAGGTCCAATGGACATTGTAATGAATGTCAATGAATCTGAAAAAAAAGGTCTAATGAAATTGTTTCATTCAGATAACATCACATGATGCGCTAGTAGTTCTGGCCCTTAGGGAAATTAATTCATTTTTTGAATTAGTTTAGTCATTCGGATTCGGATAACGAATGGATCCCAATCTTGTTCCATTCGTTAATTTAAATGAACATGAGGCCAGTCGATATTGTCCAATCGGCTTGTGTAATTTCTCTTGGTGGGTTGGTGGGTTGGATTAATGTCTGAAAATATTGAAGCCTTCCAAATTGAATCCTTACTATTCAATGATATATTGAATGCAGGGCTACTGTTAGAAACCACGGGGCCCCATACAGCCAACCTGACAGACCCCCCCCCCCCCCCAAGATAACACAGTTTACTATGCTTTGGTTATGAATCAACACAGTGAGTGAGTGGTACCAAGCACACATTGTATTCATCCAGGAAAGAAAGGGGTGGTAAAATGTGACATATTTACCGGACCCCTTCCCCCACTCTCCAACCTGAAGGATCCTATTGTGTGCTTTCAGCAGCTGGTTGGAAGGAGGAGTGGATAGCTGGCAGCAGTGCAGGGGTGGGGGCACACATGGGGCCCTGGGCAGCAAGGGGAAACATATGGTGCACAGGGAGGGTGATAAGGTGCGACAGGGGGGGGCAATTACTGGAACCAATCCCCTGTATGGATCTCTCTGCATCAGCTGAAAGTCAGCAGGAGGGAGAGGAGAAGAAGCCAGTTTACAGCTGCTGCAGAGAGAGCCATACAGGGGATCGGTTCCAATAATTGTACCCCCACTGTGCCTATCATCCTTCCTGCCCACATCCGATTCACCCAGCTGCCTGGGCCCCCCTGCTGGCCTGGGCCCTGTACTGATAGTACCCCTTATCCACGGCCCTAATTGAATGTATAGCAATCTTCCTGAAACACTGCTAAATTTTTTGAATCGACAAGGTCCAATGAATATACAAAACAAATACCGAAAACAAATTAAGTCAACATAATGAATATGACGAAATTAAATTTTTCAATGAACAAATGAATGCGAAACGAAACAAAAATTTCCAGTGTGCACATAGCTATACACGACAGCAATGAGCAGTTTTAAGCAGTGATATTTATGTTTATTACTGTTAATAAAATGACATCACAACATCTAGGAAGAAAGGAAATAAAAACGTAGGTAATTAGAAGAAGAACACGTAATGTGATTAAAAAAAAAAACTTCACGACAATGCACATATTTGTATATTTAGTATAACATTATACAAATTAATATTAAAGCAAAAAACACAAAAATGCTTTGTGGAACTTTAGATTTACTGAGTTAATCTATTCAGCATTATGAAAAAAAAAAAGAACATTATTCCTGCAGTCATACTTGTATCCTCTGTCACCTACCCTACAGGCAGAAGTCTCCTAAAACAGGTTTCATCTTGACCGTAAAATATATATATGTGTAAGCCCTGGAGATCTGACATCGTATTTTAACCAGTATTTGACTGCACTTACTTTAATAACCACATACTATGAGAAAGTGTTACAGGCTGTCTTTCACTTTCATTCAATAGGTTATTTTCTGATGCATTGCAAAAATAAAAGCTGAAATGCTTAGTTAGGAAACACAGATCTATTAGGTAAATAGGACAGCCAGCACTCATGTCTCCATACAATGAATGTTTATGTAAAATTCAATATTAGTCTGCTTTAGAGCAGCTCTACATGTGATCAGCCTGTTTATGTAGTACCTAAGACCTACTCTTTCTGAGCAACGATCTCAGTACTGACTAGAACAATGAACCTACCTTTACATGTGGTCTACAGTTCTATTTTTAAGAATACTTTATTAATTTTCATTTGTTTTGGCGTTTGATGTTCTTTTTCAATTGCAAACTATTTTATGCAACTATCTTTGTGATTTTTTTTTTTAAACTGATGTCTATACTAAACTAAAACTTCATTAAACAAAATTAATTTTTACATACGTACATAAAAGTAAAACCTGAGGGAAACACCTAGGCTGCCATTGCTGAACTATTACTACTTACTTGTTATTAAAGCCAATGGGTCAACATAATAGACAAAATAAATTTGGCACAGGATATACAAGGTGGTATCAAAAAGATTCCAGACTAATTTTGTAATACGCCAACAGATGGCAGCACAAAGCTGAATGCACAGTCACAGGGAGCACTGACCTTCATGTCAGTGTGCCAAAAGGCATTCTCCTTTGTACATCGGGAGCTGTGCAAATGGTGCTAGTCTGACCACGTGCATTACCATGTCTGCTATATCATCATGGACAGCAAGTTAGAACAAAGAGCAAATGTGAAATTCTGTGTGAAACTGGGCAAATCGCTGGATCTCCACAATGTGGTCAAATGGCCACCTTTGAGCTTCATCTTCAGAAAGAAGGCATTTTCGGGGTTTGAGCTCATTAAAGGTCTTTGTGATCTCTTGTTATCTTCCAGTGATGTTCTTCTGCTCTTGAAGTGCTCGTGCCACTCAAAAAACATCACATCACTCATTGCATCATTGCCA